GTAATGGAAGTACGTTTTTATCATGGCTCGTGACACGTAGACTTTAAAGTTTAAAGAGGCAAGAATTGAAAAATATTTAAATGGCAGTGCTCAAATGAAATAGCCAAAATATTTAAAATTAATTAGTTTATTGTTTCGCAGCTTATAAAAAAATGTGATTTGACAAAATACCGTTAAAACGGTTAATTTGGGTGAAGCCCCTTGTAAGACTACTCATAGAATTGATCGAAACATCATATGAATTACAAAAAAAAAAGCATTCATTTCGTCGAAAAAGATCGTAGATGAGCTTAAACTATATGTGGACTCAAATATTGTACGCAGGCGTACTCTTGAAGCAGGTTTCAAAAGTTACAGACCAGTCAAAAAACCAAGGTTAACTAAATAGCATTTGCAAAAGAACTAGATTTTTTGTTTTGCTCTAATTAATATTAATATGAAATAATATTAATATTAATTTTGAACGATATCACTAAAATTGAATACTTGTTAAATGGAAAACAGTTTTTCTCAGCAATAAATCGAAATTAAATATCTCTAAATCTGATAGGATGCGCACAGTACGTCGCGAAAAAAAAAACGTTTATATCCGCGTAACTGGCATGCGACGGTGAAGCATGGGGATGGGTCAGTAATGATTTGGGCGTGCTTCTCAGGATTTAGACTTGGACCTTTTCATGAAATTCATCAAATAATAGCCCAACATGTGTACGAAAAAATTTTAGAAAGCCATATGGTACCCCATGGTTGATGAGAAATGTCACTCCAACGGGTATATCAGTACGATAACGACCCAAAACACACCTTAAAGCTGATAAGAGAATGGATTTTGAAAAATGGAATTCCAATTTTAGATTAGCCAGCCCAAACACCTGATATTAATTCAATTGAGAACATTTTGGTATTCTCAAACGTCGCTTTGGGGGTCGAAAAGTTTCCAAATGTTTGAGGTCATGAAATATGAATGGTATGAAATTCCAAATAGTTTTATTAACAATTTAATATCACCTATGACCCGTAGAAGTGCCCAAGTAATAAAAAGCAAAGGGCTTTATACAAAATTTAGAAAAATAATACAAAAATTTAATATAATAAATAAAGTTGCTATTGTTCTGCACAGCCGCATTTCGCAATATCTCATTATTTTTGTGAATTATTTAACCCGTTATGAAGAATTGTAGATTTTGTTGTTTTTTTATAATAGCTAATACAATAACAAATAAAACTGTGTATTTAGATTTTTGAATAAAAAGTAAAAAGTAGACAAAAAACTTATTTATTTGATGGGCAAATTTTGGTTGCTTTTGTTATGCACAACACTGTATGTATATATATTGTTGTATATTACATTATATTATATATTTGTAAATAATAATTACACCACAATGTGGACATGAAATTAAGTGGTAAGGAGTATCTAAGCTTCGGCAAAGTCAAAAATTAGATATTTACATATACGCATAACTTTAATCTTTTGATCAACTGCCGAGTCCAAACTAATCTTTTATTAATTAAAACGTCTGCATTTGAGAAACCACGCACTTTTACTCAATTAAACTTTATTATAACAAATGTAATGGTAAAATTAAATCAATGAATCGAATTAATAATTAATATATGAAACTTATATATGTATAGTTAAAACATTTTTAGTTTTAGACAATGTACAGAATGATATGACCAGACTTTTTGGTTAATGAAATAATTCTGAAGATATGGTTGACCCAATTTTATTTACCAATTTTTCCAAAGTGACATTCTATCTTAATGGATATAATGTTCACGTAACAGTGCTATTGCGGCAAGACAAGTATAACGCAATTATACAGAAAAAATGATTATATATATATATTAATAGGTCCGATGATAAAAATGGCTAAGCCTCACTTCTCACCTTTTGACTAGAAGTTGGTAACGTCTAATGTCGATAAAAAACTGCCCTTTCAACGAATAAAATATTCAACCACAATACGAATAAGCTTATTTTAGACTTTAATTTGAAGTTTTATCTGAAAGTAGTGGCATTGATGAACTCTAACATATACTGTCTTGAAGATCAGTGTATTAAAATGCTAAAAATGTTTTGAGTGTTTTTCATCTGAAAATAAATATTTTATATAAATTTTAATTACACAATCAACCAAACAATACTACAGTTCTGTTAAGATTAAAACATCAAATTGTTTTTTATTTTCAAGTTTGGTACATATATATCAACTAAACATTTAAAGCCAAAAGATATAAACCGACCGAATAATATATGAATTGTATAGCTATCATTTGGTGCAGTTCGAGGTATATAGACTTCTCAGGACGTTACCATTAAATTATTATAAGTAAGATATAAAGTAACTTAATAATAAAAATATACGAAGGCTGAACTTGCTAAATTTACATAACAATCTAAAGATGATATAATATATTCTATAAGAAGTTTCTAATCTTCTAGGTTAGGTTAGTTTAGGTTATACCGACGATATTACAACAATTTTAATCTTATAACCTGGCAAAAACTTAACTCATTTACTTAACATTTCCACATTTCATACGAAATTATGAACAGTAACTATGTACTTAGCAGTTTATTGTGACATCGATGCCAAAAGAATCACAATGACATCGATGCTTTATTGATGATTTAGTCGGATTTGAGGAACTTCATCTCAATGTTTTGTAAACAGTTTGTCTGTGTTTTTTAACATATAAATTCTTTATACTCCTTTTTTATATAATATATAATATTAATTAATTTATTATTTTTAAAAAAATTATAATAATAAAATATAAATGACTTTTATTTGCATTTGTTGAATCTTTGTTGAGGCTTTTAGATGTTTTGTGGCAGCGATAACGATTCCCTTTCGATATTGATATTGACATATTGATATTGATATTGATATAATATTGACGATATTGATTTTACCAAACAATTGTATTGATTACCCACACCTTCTTTTATATCAAAAACCCGCCACCACAATGAGTATGACTAGGTATCAAGAAAGAATCTATGGTTTTCATATGACATGCCACAAAAATGCATTTACTTGATATCGTAGTGGCATCGACGATTGATTCTAAAGTATCGATGATGTATCGATACTCTCTCCTGCTGGGTTTTTCAGCTTTTAAATTATACAATAATTATAATTATAAAATAATTTATTTGGTTCATTTAAATAACTGTAGTAATTTTATTGACATAACTAATGCAATGGTTGTCTATCAATAAACAAAAATTGAAAAAACTCTAATCTTGAATAATGCAAACTACGTTGGATTTGTATGTTCATATGCAAGTCCACTATATAAATTTGACTGAGTTTAAAAATCTTCTCGAAAACCACTTATGATGGATATTTAGCAGTATCTGAAACAATTCTATGGGCAACCCAAGAATTTACTTAATAGAAATTTTTAATCAAACATACATATTTTTAGCATTAAAATAAAATTTAATATTATTTTAGTTATAATATTTAAACTTTAATCTTTAATATATTTTTTTCTTTTTTCAATTTTGAAACAATTAGTTTAATTGCAATGCACATGACCCATGACTGGTTTCAGTACAATCCAGTTATTAATTTAATTGGATATAAGCATGCATAGAGAAATTGATAAAGAAATACTGATATGGAAGGAAGTCCATATTAAAATTATTATGATGTACAACGTTACACTAATTTTAAATTTAATTGTTTATTAAATACTTCAGAACGCTTTCAAAGGATTGATTAAGCAACCTCTCTGTATAGTACATTGATACACAATATTCTAATAAAATATCGTAATGTATACCACCCAAAACTAAAGTAAATAAGCTAAAAATAATTACCAAAATTATACAAAAATAGAAAATAAGAAGTCAACGACTTTGTCTAACCTAGCATTGGCTCTATTTTAAGCAAATTTGTAGGCAGCTAATAATGCATTTATTTTAAATAAAAAAAAAATGAAACATAAGTGCAACATAAAATTGCTTTACTCGAGGTTTATGCTTTATTTTTACTTTTCAAATTTCAGACTTCGAGCCATAAATCTTTTTCAACATTCAAGAAAATTGCAGCACTTAAAATATTTTCATAAATTTCCAAAAAAGCATTCAGTCTGAAAACACATAAAAATATTGAAAGCCCACTTGGGCCCATATGACTTATGGTATATGTAGGCAGCACTTAATAGTTGGAATTTGCAAAAATTGTTGAAAAACAAAATAGATAGATGCTTATAAAATGTTAAGCGAAAATAACTGAAAATAAAAAAAATGTAAACAAATCAAAAAGTCATAAAGTCTTTAGGAGTTACCGGCTTTTGTCTGTGCAAAACTGCATCTCGCAACTGGTTCGGAGACAACTAACTGGAAACATTACAAAAAGATTGCTTGAAAAAACTGGCAATGAAATGTCATTAACCTAAGTCACACGTAGTTGTAGATTTCATACTTAATTAAAAGATATGCTTGACTCGAAAAGTAATTAAGATACAAACTCCAAGTGCTATTTGTGCTACATTTCAAGATTTTCACGATTTTCAATTATGGTGCTCAGCACTGATCATAGAAACTGAAGACACACAGCAGAGGAAAGTCTTTGTCACGCCTATTAAATCCAATAATGAGCCATGAAAAAGTTTAATTATTTGAAGAAATGCCATTTAACTATCAACAATTTGTAAGAGACGCTTTTATTAAACTGATTACTTTAATAGTTTAGTTCTGATTTATTAACAATTTAGTAAATATAATATATATAAAATATAGATATTCGGATATTAACTATCCCAACAAACGCTCTGAGATATTATAATAATTTCATAACTTAAAGATGTTGCCTTAGCAAAATACTAAAAAATGTATAAAAGTATCTTATTAGTTTATTGTATTTATATTTAAT